ACCTCAGATGGGGCAGATGGGGGTCTACAAAGGATTTTTTTCTACAAAGGCTTAGTTCTCATTGAACTTCTCTAATACTTTTCACAGTAGCCCAAAGAACCATTTTTTTTGTAAATTTTAGAATTATTGTGGGTTATTGCAAATACATGTCTATGCATTACTATTTATGCAAATACCAAAATCGCGAGTGTTTATAATTATTACAACTTAAACGCTAATTCTTTCTGAATATGTTTCCTTTCATAAACTATAGGGATAAATGAAGTGATGTCTTTGTAATTACAAATCTTAAAGTATATATAAAATCACTAAAAATAGAAAATTATGGATACCCGTATATAAATGTACGTGCATTTGAATGAAATTCCTAACACTTTACACCAGATTATTCTTTAAATTCTTACATTTTTATAATCTTTACGAGGTAGAAATATTTGGATTTCATGAATGCATGTTAAAACATTTTTAACATAAAAATTATCTTTCTATCCCCTTAACGCACACTTTTTAACAACAGGGAAATTAAATGCTAAAATAATTTTTGAAAGCTTAATTTAAACGTCCAATTGCAAGCCTTTTAAAACTGTGTAAAATACAGGAATTTTTCATTAAATTCTTAGGCTATGAAACCTTACAACCAGGAAAAATTTGACACGAGAGAGAGAGAGAGAGAGAGAGAGAGAGAGAAAAGCGCAATCATATAACCATTTGTTATCACGGTTGTCTGTGAAAAAATCAGATTATATAACAGATAAATATACAAACATATTCGAACAACGAAACTTCATATTAAGAAGTTTTTGATGCATATATTTAAAGCGGTAATACGGCTGCAAATCGTGTGCTTTTTCATTCAAATTTACCCAATATATCATTCAGGAATAAGGTGTCATGTTGTAAATTTTGTATTTACTGCCACCCGATAAATTCAAAATTTACAACATGACAAAGGTAAAAAGTTGAAGTAAGCAATTGAGAAAAATAAATATTCCCTCCTCATACAAAATAAACGTAACTAGTGCTAATTGTAACGGGGACCGTTACAGATGTTCCCCAAACGCTCCCCAACTCCCTTTTGATGCCATATTCCCTGGAGGCTTCGTTAAATAGGACAAACTCTATGCATTTAAGACTTTAACAACGTTTACCCAGAAGTGTACCAAGTTCATTCAAATTCAAGCATTGCACGCTTGTGCATGTGAATGCATGTGCGTAATGACCATATCATCTTGCCACACAATCGATATATTTTGATATACTAAATATTAAAGTATTTAATCCAAACGTATTTAAAAATACGCTCATTCAAGTGTATTTTTTATTTTACTCTTTTTACGTGCACGCACGTGCATACATGAGCATGGCGACTATACCTTCTTGTAGAAGTCCATTACATCTATCTATGTTCTAAACCCCACCCCGTTTGGTTGTAAACCAAGGGAGTTATAGCTGTTTAAAGTTTAAGCCAATCAGATTGCAGCGCATGTACACGCACGTGCATGCATGTGAATGGTGACCATACCTTCTTGCAGATGTCCATTATATCTATCTATGTTCCAAATCCCACCCCGTTTGGTTGTAAACCAAGGGAGTTATAGCAATTTAAAGTTTCAGCCAATCAGATTGCAGCGCACGTGCATGCACGTGTTTTTATGATAATTGCTATATATTATGTTGTAGGATATCCTAATGCATGGCTATGTTCAAAATTTCAAAGGATTTTGTCAAAAAACAAGAAAGATATTGAGACTTTAATTTCAGCCAATCAGAGCGAAGCGCACGTGCATGCGCGTGAGATCTTGCTATTTTGATCATGTGATATTGTCTATGCTACTAATATATCCTTATATTATGAGTTTTAAAGCATTTCATCAAAAATGTAAAAAGTTACGCCTATATCAATTAAATCGGTCATTTCACGTGTTGCACGTGCATGCAAGCACGTGCGCGCAAAATGACCTTCGTTCCGCAAATCTACATAACATGTCTACTGACCCTAAAAACATTTCACCTAAATCGGATGTGTAGTTTACAAGATCATTCGCGGACAAAATTTTCCCGAGAAGAAAAATAATAATAATAATAAGAAACAGAGTAAAAACAATATGTTCCCCAACTTCGTTTGGGGAACATAATTAGAATCTGCCGGAAAATCAAGGGCCGTACAACTTAGATCTGTTTACTTGTACCACATGAATTCTAAAATGGCACGTGCATACAATGTAGGGTTTACAATTATAATGGAATAATAATTAAAAGCAATTCTGAGAATCAAAATATCTTAACTCTCCGGTAAATTGTTTAACATATTAGTCTGCATTCAAATGAATTTAACATGATTAAGTAAAAATGTTGACGTTTTGTGTATTGGGGTGCAAGAAAGGTAAATCCACCAAATCATACGTCATCGCGGCAAAATGTCAAACAAAATATCTTTCTGCAGTTCCAATACAATTTGCGCTTCAAATGGCAATAAATTTTATATGTCATAAGTGCATTTAAATGTTGAGTTTACACTGATTTTTTTTCTTTGAAAGCCATGGAGATACGAGAAATGATAGCATGTGTCAACAAACCTGTAGGGTAGAACCTTCGCGAGCCTCACGTGAATGTCGCCGAGATCCCGTTTCTTCTTCATCCAATGATTATATTAATTTCCCAACTAAATTTTTGTCAAGAAAGCTTTTTAATTTCAAGCCCTATTTTGGGTTTTGTTTTTCTTTTTGGTCGACTTTGTCATTGAAGTAGGCCTACCACAGGAGACTGTGTAGAGAAAATAAACAAGTAGAGCTTTTTTAAAAAAAAAAAAAAGCTTACCGTCTTTAGCAACAACCTTAAACAGTAAACTAATCTACATCTTTCAAGTCGTATAATTCATTTGAATTTCTTGATTTGTTATTTCTACATTAGATTTTTACTGGTATTAGCCCTACCGCGGCTGTCGCTTTGTCATCTCCGTAAACTGACTGACACCTTCGGCAAACCCCGGCCGATTCCGTTAAATGTTACCTTCTTCAAAGCAATATGAGCTGCATGTTTGACATCGGAAAATTTTATTGCAAATTTGTGACTAACTAATTTAATGACAGAAAAATAAATCATTTATAAACTTCTGTTGCTCATATTCGCGATGAAAATATTTTTATTAGCTTTGATTGGAGCAAAGTTGAATTATTGTCGTCCTGTACAATAATGGTTTCTTATATAAAACTGCATGTTCGGTTGTACAGAAATATTTTTTTCTGAAACATTTAAAAACTTTATTTTGGGCTTATTGTTCATAAGGGTTTAAATTACATACAAATTAATCATGATAGCACATTTTACCAGCAAAATAAAATTTTCGAAGATACAGCTCATATTGCTTCAAACAAATAAGGGGAAAAGAATAAATGCAAATTGTAAAGCCAGCAAGCAATAAAATTCAAATCTTATTTGGAACTTGATGAAAATAAAGAGACCTGCTTAGTTATTGCTATTAAAAATATTGTTGTTTAGAATTCAATAGTGCTGATTTTTACGAAAATTAGACCCTCAAAAAGTTATCTCCCTTGCCTTGAACAGCATTTTAACCAATGAAATAATTGAAAATTTTCTCATCATGCAATTTCTACCAATCACAGAAGAGAGGAAGTGCATAGTCCGAAGACTGTAAAAAAACTTCTACTATATAATACCATCTTCCAAGGAAGACGGATCAGTTAAAAAAATTAGTACCTCGGAGAAAAAAAACTTTTTCTCCGAGGTACTAATTTTTTTAACTGATTTATTTTCTCTACACAAGCCCCTGTGGGCCTACCGGGCTTCCCTCTCTTACCATGCTGTTTTGTTTATGAAAATTATATGTATGCTCGATAGCATGGAATGTGGAATCTCGAACACCGTATTGTCACTTTAAATAGTGTTTGTCATTGGTGTTAAAATGTGGGTTTTTCAAAAAAATGTTGGAAATAATACATGTTCAAATATATTTTTAAATAAAAGTCGTATATTGAAAGCATTTACCACACAGTATCATATGACATCCATAAAGAAAAATGTGTCAAATAAAATTGTAGACTTGTTTCAATCTGCATATCGTATTTATATATTCATTGGCGGATCCGAATCTCTCAGATTCTTTTACATATACTTTTACGAGTATATGTATATACAATGTATGTACAAACTAAACATTGATTCTATGACACAATCATTTTAAAAAGTAGGAAAAACTTGCAGTATATAGATAACTTAACAGGTTGGATTAAAAAAAACTTCATTCAACGACTAGTTCTAGGTTTTAAAAGATAGAACAAGTCTTCACAGGCATTGGTTTTGAAATCCAAAGCTCGTAAAATAATTTGATATACAGCAATCCAAATTTATCTTGATAGAGACCTGAAGCAAAGGTTACATGTAATCGGAGATAAAATTTAATAATTTTGCTATGAAAGCACTATCAGTCAATGTAGACTGAACATTGTAGAAATGTGAACAAACCTACATGAGTATTCACTAAACTTAGAAATTTTCTCCAATTGAATTTCGGTTGGAAACATATGTATATTGTCCACGTATTGCAGTAAAAGATAAACAAGTTTAAGATTGCTTTTAATATATAACGAACAACTAAACATACAAGTAAATTAATTTTCGCTGATTAACAGTGCTTTACTTTTATCGCCAACTAGATACATGTTCAGTTCAGTTCACTATATTCGCCCAAACCAAAATACTGGTACATTGGATACATTAATATTTAAACATAATTTCAAAAACAAAATGAAGAATCGGTACAGGTTTTGGTATAGTTAAAAGTAAAAATCAAAAAATATCACTAAACATTTACTCCTTAAAAGTAAAAATCCAAAAATATCACAAAACATTTACTGCTTTAAAAGTAAATGTTTTGTGATATTATAGGATTTATATTTAAACATATATACATTTCAAACAAATAGGTCAAAGGTGCAAATTAATATACAATATACAATACAAAATATGGAACATATGTGCACTATACATTGTCAGACAACTTCATATATACCGTTTATTAATACTTAAATATCCAATTAATTTTACTAATTTGTTTATTTGTTTAAACACAACAGAGAATATAACAACTCACATAGCACCGACAGTGAAGATAATGACGTTCTTCAACAATTCAATAGGCCTTTATATCCATATGTAAAGCCCGCGAGTTCAAAAAGATATATAGCATCCCCAATAACTTTTAAAAATTGAAATTATTTATCTGAATTGTTGCATTCTCATTTGGTTCTTAAGATCTTTCTGATTTCTAATTTTCGTATTGCATTTCAGTTTAAATCATTATGAAATCGCCCTTATTGATTTGTAGATTCTTTGACTTTCAAAAATTCGTATCTTGTTTTTTCTTGCTCTGAAATGTTTAATTCCTCGTATTTTGCATATTTTTCTTCTCTCATACATGCTTTCAAAACCTCGTATTTTGCACTTGTTTGTGATGCCATATCGAGGACTTCGTATCTTGCGCTTGCTCGTTCAGAATTGATTAAAGCTTCGTATCTTGTATTTGTTTCCATCGCGATATTTAAAGTTTCATATCTTGTTTTCTCGTTGCTAGATGCATCTCTTTGTTCTTTATTGTTCAAAAGCTCATAGGTGGTAGTGTCACTTCTCTCTACTGTACTGGACTGTTCTGTGCTATTCAAAGCGGCTCTTCCTCTTGGGGTTTGCTTTCTTTTCAGTGAACGAAGATATCTATTACAAATACAAAAGGTTCATATTCTTTATACGTATTATAAAAGCTACGTATTTTTTATATTTTATTGGTATATTTTCTTTCCATTTCTTATATAAAAGATTTTGACTTTTTTCATTGAACTAAATTGTAAGTTAACGTTGAATTTTTTTGAACGGAATTTCTTCTCTTTTTTTAACTTATTTAGCTTCTGTTGCGTAAAAAAAGAAATACATTAAATAATTTTGGACATTGACAATACCTCGATGCATTATCTTGATACTTACCCTAACATCATATCTCTATTAACTTTTATGAATGATGAGTCTTTAATACTTCTCATGCATAAGACTGCAGATGTCACCACAAATAGCAGAGTAAAGAAAATGAATGGCAGAGCAATATAACTCCAAATATTTGTCGTACATAAAACTTTGTGATCTAGAACTACACAACTTTCAGAGAATGCACACTGATTTTCTCGACAAGTTTGCTGATTTACCTTTCCATGCTCTCGTTCTTGGACTTTCAGTGCTATGCTTGAAGACTTGTGCAATATTTCTCCAAAGATTGAATTTGAGGCTACGCACAAATAAACACCACTGTCGTTGAGGTTGGCACTATTTAAAACCAAAATTCTTTCTTTCCATGTGAGTGGTCGTATCTTTTCAGAACGATCGTATGTTGAATTAAACATCCATTTTAAAGTTGGAATCGGATTCCCGTCAGAATTGCACGTAAAAGTTACTTTTGACCCGACAAACACGGTCTGACTTGTAGGCCACATATCAATGATGACATCGGAAGGGCCATCTGCAGATAACAAGACTTAAATGAAGGGAAAATATCTATGACGTAAATGACAATAAATTTCATATCAATATCACCTATATCTTAATGAAAAATATGTTGTTGTTTTTTCAGTAAAATAGAAACTCCAACAATAGTTTATATATATTGAAATATATATAAACTATCGTTGGAGTTTTTATATATTACATACGATATGAAATAAAACTTACAGAGAATATTCACGACTCTGCTTGGTCCTTGAACTTGACTTTGTCTATTTTGTGAAGAACAACTAAATTTTCCACCATTATCTTTTTTGGATACGGTATAATTTACGGTCAGGTGACTGAATGTAGAGCAGTTCTCGTTCTTTTCCTCAACCGGGTTTGATTTATTCAGTAATACTTTGATATTTTCTAGCACATCTCTTTTCCATATAGCAATATATCCCTCTGGATTTCCAACATTTGCAGAGCAAGACAATTTTAGCTCGTCGTTCTCTCTGAGAGTGTCATTAGGGTACAGGGTAAAATTGGATGGTTTTTCTGCATCCACTGATAATAATAACGATTAACGTGTTAGTGACTCAAAAAAGCATGTTTTTCTGTGTAATTTTCTAGCATTTAAAATCTTCCTTATACTCAAGCCGGTTCACTCATTACAAGCTAAGATCGTGCTATCATATTTCTTTAAACCCTGAACTATGTATATGTTTAGTTTTAAAACATACAAGTATCTTAATTAGAAATCAAAACAAAATATTTATATTACATTCATATTATATTTATACCGAATATTTATGTCACAACAGCATAGCGTTGCTGAAAATCAAAATGGCTAACTTATATTAAAAAAAATCTGCTTTAACGCTAAATGTGGAACCTCTGTTTGAAATCTTTAATAAACATAGTTTTTACCTTGTAAAAACACAGTTGTGCCTCCCGTTATTTTTGTTGTTCGACCATCATTTTCAATGTAATTTAACACACATCGGTACTCCCCGTCATCTCGACACTCAATGTCACTGATTGTCAAAATAAAGCTATTGGTTGAACCATTTCCTGGACTGATAAGTTGAGATCTGTTAATCAGGTAATTCCCATTTTCGGTCAAACGTGCTTCATGGTTAGGAATGGTTTTGAATTGTGCTATATCAATATATGCATTTCCAATTTTCTTTATCCAAATCATAGATAGGAGTGACCTTAATGTTCCTTCTGAGAATGTACAGTTTAGTACAATGGATCTGTCTTTACCAAGTGAAGCATTTATTTCTGGTTGTGTTAATACTATCATTGAGGTGATACCTAGAAATATAAGTGACTGCATTGTTCAGTCATACATGTATGCATTATAAGGTTATTCATTCATAAGATGTGGAATGCAACAGTAATTATGTAGTCTATTTATAAAAAGACTAACCCATATTAGTTTTTATGTTTATTATCGTCGTGTCATACTGGATGACAGTAAACAAAACCAACTTTTCATGTTGGAAATAATGTATTTACTGGAACCCAGTAAACTAAAAACTTGCCAGATGACAGTGTTATAAATGAAACATATGGAGATAATGAACAGTAATCAAGATGAAAAGTCCATAAAACAATGCAAAATAGGAGCAGAGCAAACAAGGACCTTCAAAATATCAGGATGATCAGGTGCCTTGGAAGAGGGAACATCCCAGGGACGTAGCAACAGGGGGCCGGGGGGGGGGGGGGGGGGGGGCTGGCCTCCCACTTTTTTGCCAACATTACATTTACTATTTAAAATGTATATTTAATGGTTGGTTGCCCCCCCCCCCCCCCCCCACTTCTTACAATAGTATTATGATATGAAGGATATGTAGTATTGTCTGAAAAAAAAAATGTAAAGTAAAGAAGTTGGCCTTGAAAAAAGTTAGCCACTACCTCCTACCCCCCCCCCCCCATTCTTCATTGTAAACTTGACGTATTATATCCACCGCTTAAAAAGCAGGGGAAGGGCTATCATAGTGATGGGGTGTTTGTCCATCCATCCGTCTGTACATCCGTCCGTCTAGCTGCACGTCCGTCTGTTACGCTTTGGGACACCTATCTCTTATCCGCAACTCCTCCTCTACCACTGAATGAAATTAAATGAGGCTTCACAGAATCTTTGTTAAATAGTCATAGACGTCGGAAGCGGGAGGGGGCAAAGATACACATGATATAGGCATTGAAAATTTGAATGTAAGTGTAGCCCCACCCCGTTATAGTTTAAGTAAAAAAAGGTATTCGATCCTGCCCCCCGCCACCGAAATAGGATTTTCGTGTCTGAACAATAAGCACCCTTTGCTTTGCTGGTCAAGCTTTTTTTTTATAGGTTTGAATTTTTTTTTCTCTTTCACTCCCCCCTTCCAACTTTTAATTTGCTTCCGACAAACAAAGATAAATGGCGGTTTTCAGATATCACCGTGTATAGGGGCACACGTGGGGTTTCGGTTAAGTAACATATGGGGTTTCAACTCCGAAGCGGTGATTTAATCCGTTGCTAATGAAGTCTTCGGGGCCAAATGACATGCGCACGGGTTGTAAGAATGTATTATCTTCCAATTTAGTTCAATAGGCTGGTTGAAAGCGTTACGGATTCTGCAAACACTTCTGGACAGTTAAGTCGACTGGGGAAAGTTGTGGTGTCGATGATATTCTTTGCTCTATAATTTTCAAAAGCGGACCTTTAAAGCTCATTTTAAGGATGATAGATAAAGATTGATATAAAAAAAATCCATGGAAACTTTTTTGACCTTTCGCAGTATCTATTTCTGTAAGAAATATAAACTTTTGTGGACTAATTCTAATGTGCCTAAAGGGATTTCAAGGTTTGTTATTATAGGGGGTTTCAAGTCAAAGGTTTTTTCTATGTTTAAATCTTTGCTTTCTTTCAAACAATGGATTTCGTTCATTTAACACGAAATAAAAACGAATGGTTATATATTAGGCAACAAGTTTGGTTGTCACCTATGTGCAGAAATAAATAGATTTGAAAGCTCACTCAAGAGACAGGTTGCGTACATACACAAGCTGGGAGCACTTCTTCCAATCATAACATTTTACTGTTGAAATTCTTCATTGAAAACTCACACTTTTGTTGCGGTACCGCCAAATAATGGTATTGAAGAGTTGTGCATGAATAAAATTTGGTACTGAAAAGTGAAACCTACCCCCTCCCCCCACCCTCCCCACGCCTCCTTCACAAAAAAGTACACAAAATCTATTTGTTTGTGCAGTTTTTTTTGGTAGGAATTTTTCTCTGACCCCTATTAAAAATTTAAAAAGGATGCTATGTCCCTTTATTCAATTTCCATAGAAAAATGCTTTGTTCCTCTTGTGCGTCTTGACTAGATTCAAAATAAAACCTCCTTTCCACATATTCCTAAAGGAAACCCGGTTCCCTGTTTATAAGACGCAATGTGCCTCACTGTGAAACTGATTTATTTGATTAAACGCCTTCTTTTACATAAACGTATTTAATGTCCTTGTACATTGTATACAAATATACATAAAGAGCACTGATTAAACAGGCACGTAGCATCGTTTTTGAAAGGGGGGGGGCAACCAGAGAGAAAAAGAAATTCACTTACCTGTCAAAGGTGACAAGCCAAAAAAAAATTCCCAAAAAACGCTCAAACTTGAAAATCCTACTTCGGGGGGGGGGGGGGGGGGGGGGGGGGGGGGGGGGTGGTAGTGGCCAACTTTTTTCAAGGCTTTTCACTTACAATTTTTTCATACAATACTACATTTTCCTTCATAATACTATACTGTGGTAAGAAGGGGGGGGGCAGCCAACCTTTAAATGGATATTTTCAATAGTAAAGGTAATGTTGGGGATAAAAGCTCCCCCCGGCCCCCCTGCCCCCCCCCCCCCCCCCTTCGTTGCTGCGTGCCTGTTAAATAATGTATACGTTCCTAAAGAAATGTTTTTTAAAGTTGTTTTTGAAAGCATCAAAAATTTTGATTGATTAATATGCAAAGGTACAGTTTAGTTCGTTCCATAATTTTAGATACAGCAGTACATGTACAATGTTACTAATATTTCGGTCGCAGAACTCTTACAATCAAGCGCGTTGAAGTGATAAAATTTTCCGTTCGAATGGAACGTTTTGAGCTATCTTTAGAACGTTTATTGTCATCGTTTGACACGCCCATATCCTTAGAAATGGATAAAACGGTCAATTTGTTTATTCGAATACCTGTAGTACAGGTTTTCCACAAATATAATAGCCAATGAAATTGACGGTCTAAATGAATATCGACTAAACACGTGTTCGACCGAAACATGTGTTGTGGTAACTTCAATAGACATGATAAGTTAAAAAATATGTACATATTCGTTGCAATCTGTGTTTTACAGAAGCGGAGAGTCGTTAACTCTCTCTTCTAATATTTTTAAAGCTCCATTTCAGTTTAACTCATATTGCTTGTCGCGAAGAATGGGGTGTCCTGAAACATTACGACGAATATTTCTTTTTCGTTTCTAAAAATATGGGCGTGTCACTATGATTTAATTGGCGTTCAAAACATGACTCAGAACGATTCATCCAAACAGAAAATTTTATCACTTCAATGCGCTTCATTGTATCTTACATTCAATGGGACTGTATAACAGCCTTCGGATTTCCGGGAAAAACGCAATCGTTTATTTGAATTCTATTTTGACAAAAACTCAATTAAATGTTTCGCACACTGAACAGTTATACATAAATGTCAGAATTTTAAATGACATGTTAGATAGATTTCATACGTATCCGATAGAGATTAAAGTGAGTATTCATGTTTGTATATTTTTTTTTTAATTCATAGAATTTATTTTTGCTTTCACATTTGCAGACTATGTACAATAGATTTGTTTACATTCAATACATACATATACTATATAATTTTTCTTCCATATAATTTATATTATATACTTTGGTAAATGCTAAATACAAATTCATTTCATGTATATTATGAATCTTCATTGTGAAAGCTTTATATACAAAGAAGTAAACAAAGGGGAGGGCTGAGGAAGGAAAACAAAGTGAGGTTGGGGAACAGTTTTCACTGTTTTACCATACTGGTACATTTGAGTATAAATTTGAAGAACATTATAGCATATCACAAATAATTTTCCAGTTCTTTTCATATTCTGAAAATTTACAATTTCTTAAAAGTATAGCCTTTTCAACCAGTATTCTATCTACAATTATTTTTTCTAGCATTACTATACTTAATTTAGGCATATTTTTAAACCTACTGGCAAAAATAAATTGTTTAACAGTAAGTATTATTATATTGTGTAATCTATACATGTTTTTATTGTTGTATTTTCCAAACAGTATATCTTTTCTATCAAAATTAATAGTAAAATGGAAGTTTTTTATAAACCACTCCTCTATATGACACCATATTCTTTTTACATAGAAACATTCAAAAAATAAATGTTCAATTGTTTCAACTTCTTGTTTACAAAATGAGCAAACAGGTGAATCAATTAGTTTAAGTTTATAAAGGTATATTTATGTGTTGCAATAATCCTGTGCAGGATTTGAAATTGCATCCACTGAAATTTTGCCTCTTTTGTAACTTTAAATGGTAGTTCAAATATTTTGTTCCATTCTAACTCACCAAAAGATATTCCATTATTTTCCCATTTTTCTAATTCTTTAATTGTTTGCTTTTTCTTCTTGATGAGTATATTGTACATATCTTTACAACCATTTGTGCTTTTATAAAAAATGTAAATTGAATTTGGGATAAAAGGTCCACTTTCTTCTCTTTTTTCAATATCAATACTTTTCAGTATCTTTGTAACAGCTATTTTTAAACCGGTATATTCTACAAAATTAGTTTGTACATTCAGATTATTGAGGTACTCGAGGCTTATAAATTTTCCTTCAACGTCAAACAGATCTCTTATGAAAACAAAGCCTGCATCAAAATAACTTTCAAAAATACAGAGGAATTATTTATTTTAATTCTTGGATTAAACCATATATGTTCATGAAGAATTTGAGTAGTACATGTTTTTTTGACTACCACTGCAGTCAATGATTTTTACCCAATTAAGTAAAACCTCTTTCCAAAATTTGTTGCTTATTTTATTACACATCTTAACTATAAAATCTAAACCTCTTAGCCAAAGAGATTCAATTTTCATTCCTAATTCTGATTCAAAAAGTTTTAACCATTTTGTGTCTGAGTAGAGTAGTCTTCGGATCCATGTTGATTTTAATGCACATAAGAAATCCATATAATCAATCATTTTCAACTCCCCATTTTTGTAGTCTTGGATTATAACACTCTTCTTA